GACCCAACAAGTTGACAATCTTCTGGATGGATGAACATGCCGGCGAGAAAGCTTTGAATTCCGAGATTGAAACTTTAAAACCATGTTTGGCTGTGGCAAGCGACATTTTGCGGCGTCGAGGACCGTCTTGCCAGTGAAGAAGATCATGTGACTTGATTGCAATGAGGAGGGAGGACATGTGGAGGGAGGACTTGTGAAAATAGTCAAATAATGACTAACGCATCTTGGTGGGCTGACAGGGATAAGAATTCTTTCACGTGCCGCACTGGGCCGGTTCTCACTCTCTCACTGAAGCATGGAAACAGAGGCCTGGTTCACAAATCTGCTCCAAGAGAAGCTTCAGGCAGGCTTCGGGAGTTGTCCGAAAGATACAGATCTCTGTTCCGAGTTTCGTTTTGGAACATCACCGAGTCACCTGCTATTCCCTGATATTGTCTTTACTCTTGGGCAGAAATGACCAGAGTCGGGGATGAACTGGCAGCGTTTGCAACTTTCTCCTGGAGTGCGCAAGAATCTAGATCACAAGAGCGAAAAACACTTCTAAAGGAAGAGGAAGGAGAAGATGAAGGAACTGAAGGACTCTCAGCTCAGCCTAGTCTCAGCCTTTCCACCGATGAACAAGCAGCCCACGTTTGCGTCGTCGTGAGCCTCGCTCTTCCATCTGTTGGACTCTTAAAGGGCAGCCTGGATGCGTTGTGAGTGTATATCTCACGGCATTGATCAAGTCTATTCTTTCACCAAAAAAGAACAAGACACCCCCCTGTGCAGGAGCACTTCAAGAAACAATGGAAGACCATCATCCACCAGGACTCGGATCTCGCAACGATGGACACTTGTGACCTTCACCAGTCCGTGCATCTTCACCAGTCGCTCGGTTTCGGCGATCGGTCGGTGCGGAGGAGCCGATCATTTTCGTGGACTTCGCGGATAGCTTGGGGGCTCAGTGAGTCGTTCTAGACGAGTCGGTCGACTTAGGAGGCGGTCGATGGTTTTGTGACGACCGGTGCGTGGTAGGTCCACGGCTTTGGATGAAGACCCGTCACTGATTAGAAGGTCATCTCATTTGGACAGATACCGTCTCATATTTTAGAATGAGGCTTGATGCAAACAGCACAAAGTCCATAAGATGCAGCACACTCTCTGAACCCGTTGAAGACTTGTCTACTTGAAGCCGTGCCAAGCCGCCTTCTAGCCGAAGCAAGCCGCGCTTGGCGCCTTCTCCGAGGCAAGGCCTTATACTACCAACAGGTCACCAATCTGGAGCAGCTTGACGACGTGCTGCTCTGACTGGCCTGTTGTTCGATCCCTTGACATCGGGAGATGTGCTGGTGACGGGCAGACGGCATAGGGCCCGATGCGATGCGATGCCGACATCTCAACTCGGGGGACGGTCGATAGAGATTGGATGTCATTGTTAAAAGTCTTCAAGACCTTAGGACACTCCTTAGGACTTATGCCTATTTGCAGTGTCCACCATCTTTTGTCTGGTGTCGGGATCGTGAATTCTTGGGTCCGGAGTCTGACATCCAACCGTGAAGTTCGGCCGAGAGTTCTTCTACCCCGTCAGCTTGGGAAGTCCGTCTGTCTTCGTGCCAGGAAAAATCGGTTGATGGACTACAACTCCATGGCGAAGCGCAGCATGGAATTGGTACTCTTCACGTTGGGGACTCAGAAAACGATATCCGTGCAGGTTTCCCTCGAGATCCATCGCTTTTTTGATTGACGTGTCGGAGCTTTCATTCTTTGCAACCAACTCTTAGACCCAATAGCCCACGTGCAACTGTTGGTTTTGCGAGTGGTTTCTGACACTGCCTTGAAGTGCAGGGTAGAACAGGTCTGCCATTTTCAGATCAAAATCAGATTGCTTTACTTCATTCATTGACACCTGAGTTCAGAGAGAGATGTTCTGTTGTTCAGGTCAGCGGCACAGCACATTTGCCGGATTGTGCCGGAGTTGCAGCAAGACACCTTCATGTGGATCCTGTTGCATGGTCTGGGCAGATTGTGCTGCAACTGTCCATCTTTCCTCTTGCCACTAAAGTGACCCCCAACAGCAGACCCCCCTCATTTGGCAGCCCTCCCAGTGTGTTTGCTGTTCTTTTTTATTCTTCTCAGGTGCGGGTGCTCAAGACACCCTTGGGGAACGCGCTCCTGGTGGGCGTCGGTGGCAGTGGCCGCAAGAGTTTAGCCACCTTGGGAACCTTCGTGGCCGAGTTCCAAACTCAGACGGCACAGCTGGTGACAGCTTGGGCCACAGGTGGCACAGTTGGCACAGGTGCGTTTGAAGCTTTTAGAGAGATGTGGCCAAAGCTTTTTCTTGGGAGATGTAGCCAAACATGTCGGAAGCATTCCGTATTTGCTTGGCCTAGCATTCCTCCTGCTATGACATGAACTGCTGTTCACGTTGAGGTACGACCACTTCTCCATCGAGATCACCAAGAAGTACAGCGTGGATGATTGGCATGAAGATGCCCGGAATGCCAAGCTGAGCTCGATAGGCCCATCCCTTGTTGAGATAGCAGGCAGACATTCCATGATCACCCCAAGACGTCGCTTGAACCTAGCATCCCATCCATCGAGATAGCAGCCACCGTAGATATGACTGTGAGTGTCCAAGTCTCCTCCACCAAAGTCATGGTAGGTTGACCTCCCGAACATACCAGCACCCCCAGTCAGTGTGGTTCATGGACACCGCGAACATCACAGAGTCTATCGGGGGCGATAGATAGACACCCCCGACAGGAGCGTCCGAACATGGAGGAATCTGTTCATTCTTCAGTGGTCAACCAGTCGGTCCCCATGTGCCACGACCCACAGGTGCCATGACATCCCGCCGACTCGACTCACGACTCAGATCAAGCGGCTCTTGATGTCCGTGGGAGGCGGCACGCAAGAGGCACCTGTGCAGGTGCAGCGAATGGCGCAGTGATATTGTGCGAGTCGTGTAACACATACATATAATGAGCTTTTTCTGTGAGGTTCATGAGGGAGGAACCTCCGTGCTGGGTCGATGAACTGTGGACTCCGAATGATTTGGGGTGCGAGACCGTCTGCATTCGGAGACCGGTCTGCTCTTCGTCTTCGAACGAGATGAACGAGACACCGTGTCTCGGTGTCGCGTGCGTTCCGTGTCTCAAGTGGCGCTCTGCACCGCCAGACCACCTTCCTCTTGGCCGACACGCAAATCCCGAAGGACCACCGCCAACGCACGACCGGCTGACGCGTCAGCGTCCTACGGCGTCAGACGGGTCATGGGCACCGAAAACCCTACCAGCCTCAGGTATGTGGGAGCTTGACGTACCAGGAAGCAGTCGGGTCAACTGTACCAGGGTTGGGTGTCCAAACACGGCCATATGGCACTGTGCCATGAGAGCGGTCAGGAATGAAGCTACGGTAGCTCGCGGAAGGGGTGCGCTAAGACCATGTCGTCACCTGTTTTTTGAGTGATTGCTACCCTGCCTGGGGGGGGAAGGCTCTGCGGAAAGTCGTGTTTTCTTGATCGTCCGCTGTGTGAGTCGTCGGTTCACGAGGAGTCCTTCCTAGAAGATACCTCCAGCTTGCTGAACAATGGTGAAGTTGGGCGCTAAGAAGGGCGGTCTAACAATGATGTGATGTTGTTTCTATGTAGCAATGAGGCGATGCCTTAGACCTTTGGCGGACCAAGGGGACCGTTTCAGGAGTGCTTGGCCCGTAGATTTTTGAGGCGCCCGGCTTTGACCCACGGCCATCTCGGCTCATCAAGCTGAGCTGAGCTCAACTTCGCCACTGCAACCTGACAATTTTGCCTGGAGATCTTTCTTTCTATAGCATGGTTGGAGTACAAAGCCATTCGCAACAGCAACCACATGAAACTTTAAAATGACCTTGGATGATCCTCCATATTCAGATCCTGAACACTACTACGGACGTACAAGCATGTCAACAGAAGCTTTCCTCCCATGCGACGTGGAAGCAAGCGCCCGTCTCAGAGCACACTGGCACTGGCTGGTTGGGCGACTTGCCTGCTTTCATCGGCTTCAAAGATGGATGATCTCACTGAGATGTTGGTGTGGGTCAAACTGTGGGCTGCCCACGTTGCCCTTTTCTGCCTTTTCTCTTTTGTTCTGGCATTGGGTGTCGAAACAGCTCCATATTTATTTTACTTTATTTTATTGTTACTTTTTTTTAATTAGTTATTTTTCATTTTTATTTTTGGCAAAACTGCATCGAATTCTTTTTGGGTTGCTACTCGTAGGTCTTTTTCGTGTGGTGACAATGGACGCCACGTGTGTGGACAATATTGTGAGGATCCCAACTGCAAGGATCCAGAGGTGGAGGTGGAACATGATCCATTGACTGGAGGCGCCTATTTGGGGATGTGACTCTTGATCATTGAGACAAGGACATAGATCTTGGATGATATTGGACTAGAGCAATCGCAAAGTGCACAAAGGACTAAGTAGAGTAGAGCCGGGAGGCAGCAAAATTTATCAATTTTTTCTCATGCCCCACACATGAGTTGTGTTTGTTGGTGTTGAAGTAACTGGATCGAGAACCGCAAAATGGACGAGTTCATGTTGCAAGGCCACTACCGAGTGTCCTGTCCAAGCACCGAGCGAGCTTGGATTGGACTTCGTGGGCGACCTGGAGTTGTGTCAGGCGGGGGGGGGGCTGCGGGCGAGAAGCCGCGAAAATTACTGTTGACCCCTCCAAAAGATTAAATACACTGGGGTGCCAAAAGTTGCGCTTCTTGAGTTCTAAAACATCACAAACCCTTTCCCCTTAGAATCCTACGTGCAACATGTCGACACCTCAGTTGCGGTCAGATTTCCACACCTGAAAGCCTTATAAATATTATAAATTTAAACGGGTGTGGAAATCTGACCGTGCTGTACCTGCCACGCAAAATGGACGTGTTAATCCGATCCGCTGTAGACTGCAAGTGTCATGTTGGAACACAGTAAGAAGCGTAAACTTTAGGGTTCTTGAAGTAGATAGATATTGGGACTGTCCTATTGCCTGCAACAGTCAGAAAACAACTATCACTATTTTAGAGAAAGGCCAATCATCATCATCCACTGTCACCGGCAATAGGACCAAGATAGATATATAAGTGATGATAAGTGATGAAGAGTGAATTGAAGTGAATTCAATGTGCTAGAGGTCGCTTCTATTTGCTTGGTTGCCGCTCCTAGAAGCAGATGATACCTTCCCCACACCACTGCCAAATGTCCGAACTCGACGACGCAGACGGAGCTTGACTCACCATGACCGACAACAGTGGCACGTCACAGATCGCGGTTGGCTGCAGAAAGCCTCACGGTGTGCTAATCGGACTGGCTGATCGCTTCCCATCGCACGCTGGCCATGTGGCCATGGATCGCCCAAGCAGTGTACTTCCCCTCATTATGTCACCTTTCCTCTGGCTGGTGCTTCGTAAGGAAATCCACCAGCTGGCTGGATCTGTCACGGTATTATCCATACCTTATGTCAGAGGTCAGCCACCCGAAGGATTTCAGTTCCCTACTTTCACACCTCTTCACCCACCTACCCTCCTCCTTTCTTGATCTCCTTGTTCGCCTCCGCAACGGCCAAAGCCGGCACCACCGCGCTCCCGTCCTCATCCTCGCACCTCCTCCTCCCTCCGTGAGCGCGCGGTGGGAGGCCAGTACTGCTTCGAGGTGAAGGTCACCGAGGGTCTCTTGCGCGTGGGCTGGGCCACCGGAAGCAGCGCGACCAAGGCGCTCGGCACCGACGCCGAGTCCTTCGGCTTCGGAGGAACCGGCAAGAAGAGTCGCTTGGGAAAAACCCAGTGAGAACGGGAGGAATTCGGAGGTCAAAGAGGTCTCATTAGGTGGAGAGGGATGGAGAGGGTGCTGTCACCCATTTTGGGTGTTTTACGTGGAGATTGTGTGGAGAATCCAAGAAGTTGGTCGACGTCTATCGGAGTCTATCATGGATAGCATTTGGAAGCATTTTTCTGGTCTTCCATGGTCCATCAAGTTTGAGCAATTGAGGATGCTCGTTCTCGTTCTCGGTGGGCTGAGCGGACCAAGAAATCCCTCGGTTCCCAGAAGACCGGTTTTTTCCATGGTTTAAGACATGGGATCTGATGCCGTTCTCGGTGACGAGGCTTCTTGGGATCTGAAGGCGTTGTTTGGGTCCTCCCGAGGTCATCGCAACAAGTTTGCGGATTATGGCGCCAGCTTTGAGGCCGGCGACGTCGTCACCTGCTGCGTGGACCGCCAGCGCCGGGAGATCAGCTTCGGAATCAATGGCATGTGGTGGCTGGGCTTCAAAAAGGACGGAGAGGAGGCGACTGGTATAGATTCCTTTGCTAAGGTTGACATCTGGATTGATGCTAAGCACATGCTCAATGGCTTCGAAATCATCAGCAATTTAGAGGTCTGTAACATGTGATTGCGTGTGTAATTGACAACATCTGGAATTGCTTTTTCTGTAGCGCTTCCTTCATTTAAGAAGGCAGTGACACACCAAAGCAAGGTAGAAGCTATTTATCCTATTTACCAATTTACCCTCACTTCTCATAAATTGTCGAAGTGGAGTTGAAATGAGCTGATTAGCTGATTCTGATTCTTTTTCAACATTTCAGCCATGAGGCATGGAAAGGCCTTTGACATTCCGAAGGCGGCGAAAACGAAACGAAACCCGAGTCGCTCACGTTTCGACGGATGTTTCAACGGTTCCTACTGAGTCTCTCACGAGCAGCGTCGAGCGCTTCGTGTGTTTGGGACGCTCCTCAACATGGAAGTGTCGAGTCGATCATGGAGATGCAGGGCTCACGTGTAGGGTCACGCGTAGGTGCGGACACGATGTAGGTATGATGGGTGGTGCGACACGTGGAGAAGTTGCTGAAAACCAAGGGTCCAAAGACAGGTGAACATCCCAGAACTTGGTGGAAAGACTGGTCAGACCAGTAGATTGGTGGGACCATATTTTGCAGATGTCAACAGTTTATCAGCCATGGCCACAATTGATGAGTATGATCGACTGAGCCTTGGACCGCTAGGCGCCCTGAGCCGACATCCTGTCAGGCTTGGGATGGCTTTGCACTTTTCCCAGCTCTTTGTGCTCGAGAAGCTTTCAAGGCCACAGGCCGCGCTCAGTGCCGCGCTCTTTTCGCGGTTTTTGGAGCGAGTTTGTTCACTTTTTTCCGATGTGTTTTTCCCCACCTGTCAGGTGAGGGTTGTCAGGAAGACAAATGATTGAAATGTCATGGTGGGGATCACTCGAAGTAAAGTAAGACAAAGTAAGTATACAGTGGTTTTTCCTCACAGATGTCCTTCATGTGCAGGTTATTTTGGATGCCCAGAACATCCAAAGGTGCCGCACGGCTGTGACTTCTGGCCGCTAGGCGGGCGATGGTCGATATGATCAGCCGCCGCTAGGCGGTTTTCTCTGCTTATCTATTAAGCTTGGCTTGTCGGGGCTATGGTCATAGCAATACGGAACAAATGATTCACATTTGAGCGACTGGAACATTGACTTCGTTTTTTTCGTTCTGTGGACACGTGTGTCCATTGTTTGGGCTTCCTGCTTGTTTGGGATGGACATGGATGGACCAACGACTGACCATGTTGCTTTGCCTGGCTCTTCTCTTTTGTTTCAGCCAGGTGCAGCCTTCCCAGTCTCTCGGTGCTGTGATAGTTCAGCCGATCGCATAGAGTCGGTGTCGTCTCTGAAACCTCGATCGATCCGCGATAGTTCAACCGACCCATCGATCGACGAGGTTTCACAATCGACCCATCGATCGAATGATCATTGGTGATGTCTTGGTGATGTCCTGCATCGAGCGATTTCTCCACAACGCGATGGAGTCCCGTTTGAACCCAAGGTCCATGAGAAGGACTCAAACGGACAGATACCTGAATTCTTTGTGTCAATCTTCCCTTCTAAACTGTTTCGGCCGTGCCGGTCCGGAATTTCATTTGAAGAACGACCCCTCGGTGTCGTGTCCGTCGCTGAGGAGGATGTGGAGGAATCACTTGCCGGACCACCCCAGCCGGAGCTGAACACACTTGAGGCCGTTAAAGAGAGTGCTTTGCATCCCTTGGTGGAGAAAAAAACACCTGCCATTGTTTCATCATGGTTTATCACTTTGATCCCGGTGAGGTTCCAAACCCATTTTGCACTGGCAACGGTATTTTGTATTCTGGCACGGTGTATTGCACCACCTAGCCGTCATAGACATGGAAACGAATATGATCACCTCAAGATTTCAAGGAGGTGTTATGGTCTCCAGCTGAACAGGTAATCCAGCATAATCCAGCTAATATTTGTTTGGCTAATGGTATGTAAGGACCTCCTGACATCCATACTGTATGTACCTTGAATTGGTTAGGCAGGGAAACATCTACAGGGCATCCATAGTTTTGGGGATGAAAACAAGGGTTTCCTGTAGAATTTTCCCTCAAACCAATTCATTGACTATGGTCTCCAATGGTCTCGCTGCCACGTCTAGCCTCCGGTGCTTTCCACAGGAGGCTCCCGAACGCCGTGGAGCACGAGCTGGACGATTTGCCAAAATGGCACGTGTTGATCAGGTGGTGAATCTGCAGGGGGCTTGATCAGACCA